TTTTTTTTTTTTTTTTTTTTTGTCAAAGTCTCACTTTGTTGCCTAGGCTGTAGTGCAGTGGTACTTTCACTGCCACCGCAGCCTTGACCTGTTGGGCACAGGAGATCCCTCTGCCTCAGTCTTCCAAGTAGCTAGAACCACAAGCATTTGCCACTATGCCTGACTCATTTAAAAAAAAATTTTTTTTTTAATTTATTGTAGAGATGAGGTCTGGCCTAGTTGCCCAGGCTGGTCCAAAACCCCTGGGCTCTAGTAATCCTCTCATCTCTGCCTCCTAAAGTGCTGGGATTACAGGCGTGAGCCACCATGCCAGGTCAGAGAATGATATTTTTATAATTGACTTAGAGCAATTCTGAATCATTGTCTCAGCCTGGGAGAATCTAGGCAAAAATCAGACTTCAGGAAGCAAAGATGGAAGCCATTGAGTAGCCAACCAACAGTATGTGCCTCACCTGGTTTCCTGCCACAATCAGTGTTCATTCTTTCCTCTTGTGTGGGGCCCAGGGTGGGTGGGGGAAGGATTCAGATGGAACAGACACCTAACCCTCAGAAAGCTTATAGTCTAGTAGGATTAAGGGTTTACACAGATAATTATAACCGTAAATTCCAAGTCTCTTGTCAATAATATAAAGTACATGCTGGGTTCCAGACCCTATTTTGTCTTGGAGAGGCAAAGATAAAGATGACCTGTCATTATAAACCCCACAGTGTTTGAGAAAAACTATAAAATGACAATAACAGTGATAAATGCTAAATTAGGGATAAATCTAGGGACCAACAGGGAACTGAGGAGTGACATGGTGAAGGGTGATGTGGAATCAGAAAAGGCCTTTTGAGATGTTTGAGTTGAATATTACACGTTGATTCAGGAGAAGGCAGGATAAAGGGTTTTAGAAAAGAATTCCAGAAGAGGGTAACATAAGCAAAGGCTAGGAGGCAAAAGAAAGGTTATGTGTGTGTGTGTTAGGTAGCAATGAAAAGTTTTTTGGATTTTTTAAAATGGATATTAATGGGACAGAATGGCATCAGATGAGGCTGGAGATAAACTGAAGTCACCCTCCATGAAAGATCTACTTCCACTGTGAAAGTTGATCTTACAAATTGGGTCATTCTTGTCATACCCAACTAAAACAGTTGAGAAGTGGGAGGTGGGGAAGGGAGCACTCAGGGCAGGTAACATTGCTCCAAAGCCTAATCCTCTGCAAGTCTGGCTGCGAAAACTGCCGGCTGTAACCTAAAACCAATTTTATCCAATAGCTACTTAAACAACCTGCTGCAACTCTGGGAATAGTTTTACTCACTAATCAGAGCTTGCCACTAGCTCCCCAAAACTTTACTAATGCAAATAAACTTTCTTAATGAACTGTATGTATCATTTCTTTTTTAAAAACCTCCAACCTTTCCTTTGTTCCTCAAACGTTCTGAAGATCACCTAGTCTGTGTATACGCCAGGAATTGCAATTTTTGACTCACAAATAAAACATTTAAAATTTAGAGTCGTCTCTATATTTTATTTGACTTCGACACCATCAATCTATCTGTGTATTTATTTATGAAATCGATATCCATTAAGTACCAGGTGCCAGGTACTTTCTAGCTTCAGAGCTTTGCGCTTGCTTTTCCTCTGTCTGGAGCAGCATTCCCTAGATCCTCTCAGATCTCAGCTCAATTATCCCACGCTCAGAAAGGTCTCCCCTCGCCCTTTATCTAAAATAGCCCCCACGTGGTCCACTTTCTGTTGTATTATTCTGTCGTCCTTACAGCCCTAATCAGATGAAATTAGTCTTTACTTGCTCATGAGTTAACTGTCTGTGAGGCCGCACTAGGACGTAATTTCCATGAGACCGGGTACTGGAGCTCGCTTCCAGGGACATCTAACAAGTTTCAGCACCCCAGGGTGCCCAGCGCAGCCGCAACCAACCGGCGCACCAGCGGAACAGAGGTTCCGAACTGAGCATGCGCAGAGGACAGAGCGCGAAGGGCCTCCAGTTCGCGCAGGCCCCGCCCCCCCGCGGCCGGGTACTTGCAGGCAGCGCCTCCGCGGTAACGCTACACCGCACTACTCCCGGGGAAGCAGGCGCCCCCCCACTTGCCGGCCCGGCCCCGGGATGGCCCCCAAACTCCCAGACTCTGTGGAGGATCTCCGCGCCGCCGGCAATCAGAGCTTCCGCAACGGCCAGTATGCTGAGGCCTCCGCACTCTACGGCCGCGCGCTGCGGATGCTGCAGGCACAAGGTAGACCCCGGACCCCACTTCTCCGGGCCTGCTTCTTCCAGCTCCCCACCAACACCTCCCAGGCTTTGCGACATCCCTGGTTTCCTGGGGCTTCCTGTCCCCGCGGTCGACGTCCCATCAGGCCCTCCCATCACCCTTCCCGCCCCTCCCGAGTCTCCTGACTTAGGCATCCTACCAGAAACTTCCTTGGCCCTTTCGTACCACCTGCTTTTTAACTGCCCTGTTGGCTCCCATCCTGTTATTCAGGCCTCATTCTGATCTCTGGGGATGTAACTCAACCCTCCTTCCTCTTAGCTATTCATTTTCCAGTTAAATTAACGTGTGTTGAGCACCTATTATATACTGCCTTTTTACAAGACACAGAAGGTCCATACTTTCTAGTATATTCTTCTCGGAGTGGGGGCGTGGATCTTAAACTGGTAAATAAGTAAACAAGACCTGTGAGAAGACATGGTGATGTGATAGTTGACTGGGGTACTCCTTTAGACTGAGAGTAGGGACCACTTCTCTGAAGAAATGGTAATTTGAGGCGATGTCTGAACAAGAAGAAGCCAGGTGCAAAAGCTTTGGGTGCTAAGCATTTCAGGTGGAGGAAACTGCAGTTAGAAACTGCAGAATAAGCATGGTGCACTTCAGGAGTCAAAGCATGGTGAGCCAGTACAGAAAATAAGTACCAAACCTAAGACAGGATGTCAGTTAGATAGGCAGACCCTTATTGTGTAGGTGGTTTTAAACCTAACTAGGTGTTTGGATTTTATGTCCTGGTGGGAAGCTACTGGAGAGCTTGGAACAGACAAGTAGCATATTCTTATGAGTGTTCCCAGCCTCCAGCTCACTTCAACCTACCACAGACCTTTTCCTAAAAGTCTGTTCTCCAAAGTGTTTTATTCAGGAGTCCCCATTGATTAAGAGGAGTCTTGGTTCCCAATTTCTATAAGTCATTTGTTTAGTACCTATTTCCTTTTGCCTTCCTTCTGTTTTTTATTTTCTTGACTAGCATTTGTTGAGTGCTTTACTGTGTGCTAGACGTTATTTCCTTTTATCTTCATTATGACCCTATGATAAGGCACTTAGAGGTGAGAGTCCAGAAGAGTTATATTGCCTACTGCAGAGTTACACAGTGAAGACATGTCAGAACCAAGATTTGAATATAGATCTGCTTAATGGCTAAGTCTAAATTTTTTTTTCTTTTTTTTTTTTT